TGGTAGACTTTGTTATTTTTCGAATGCAGGAGTTATACTGGCTACCCGTTAAAGCATGTAGTGCAATTATCGATTGTTTTTTACTAGAATTTGCCAGTTAGATGATTTTGGCATAATGAAGTTTTCTTTCAGTTGATTAAGGGGGAGTCCCCCCATTTAGATTTTTCTGTAACGTTCCCAGTTTGTAGAAGCTACCATAGCTTAAAAGTTTTAGAATTCAATTCATTTGTTAGAATTTTTTTATAACAGCCCCGTGCTCAAAAATTTAACAATACTTTTTTAAGTAATTAATTTTTTTCTCAGCCAGATAATGTCAGTAAGCCGAAAAAACTTCAGAACATATACTTCAAAGTGTCCTCCGCAAACTGGGAAAATCTAACAAAAAAATTCAAAACTAAGAAAATTTCTCTAATTTTTAGCTAAGTGAAAATATTTTCACAACACCTTGAACGAAGTTTTGCTCGAAGGAAGCATTCTCAAGGAAAAGTGTGGGTACGAAAGTTGTTCAGAATCAGATTCCCTGGAAAATGAACGAGGACTTTTTCAACATTCGTTAAACTGGACTTTTAAATTAAATTTGACTAAATTTTAAAATTTTAAAAGCCGTATTTTTCAATTAAAAATCGAGTTTAAGATTCCTTCGTTCATTTTCCAGGGAATCTGATTCTGAACGACTTTCGTACTTCGTACCTACACTTTTCCTTGAAAATGCTTCTTTCGAACGAAATTTGGTTCAAGGCGTTTTTAAAATACTTCTTGCTCCAAAACGCCATCGGGCAGGTCAAAACGGGAGAACTGAGTCAAAACTTGACCCAAAACTTCAATGAATTTGTTGTAGGTACATCTTGATGTCCTCTATCGATTGACATCAAAATCGAGGTCAGGCATCCTCCACAAACTAACAAGAAAAACTGAGTGGGGACACTCCCCTTAAGTAAGCGCATTAACTCATGTCGTCTTTATAAACCATCATCGGTCAAATAACCGTCAATAGAGCCCAGGTCAACAAAAACTGATATTTAATTACTCATGCATAGTCTGCTATCTGTACGCCTAAAAAGTTGACTTATAACAGGCTAAAAACTGTAAAAAAAGCAGCCCGTTATCAATCACCGTTTTTTGTCCTTTATTTATTTCATCGTGAATCATGGCCTAAAACCAGGCATTTAACTATATGTACTTAAACTGAAGTCTATATCGTCCATTAACTGTATACTAAGAGGCCGCTTTTAAAATGTGAATATGTCAGCCAAAAACGAGCATTTAACAGTGGGAGCTAAATGCAGTTTTTAACTATTTGTCTACATACATTCACTCTTTTGTTTCTTTATTTTGACTAATATAAATTTGCCTCTGCTTCTCTTGAAAACATTTAGAAATTTGTTAAACTATTGAAACTTGCCTCGAGAAGGTGATCTTTTTTTCTGGAAATGGTATTAGTGATGGTACCATGTCCCTGATGAACCAGAAATATTGAAATTTTTGAATTCAGTCTTTATGAGGTTATTAATAAGGAAGGAATTGATTTTCAAAAACGTACAAAAATAGATTGATAATAGGCCATAATGATGCAATAATAGCCTAAAAACAGAAATCATAAAAATGTCCATTTTTTGATCGTAATACTCAAAAACAAAACGCGTACCGGTTGCACACTTAAGTTACACACCACGAAACAGATTAGAAGTCAGAAGAAAAATGAGAAAGAGCTTTGAAAGATGAAAAGGAAAAGGGTATTTAGATTATCCTTACTTGTTTAACCGGGAAAAACCGATCGGTTTGATAGTTAATCGAGATGTATTGAATCTCGATTAATCTCACAATTTCTCATAAAGGTGAATTGCACCCGACTGATTCAACGCGGTCAGTAAACGGCCGTAAAATCGACACCGTAATCCTATGCTTCGTAATACTGTCGCTGCAAAGCGTATACAACTCCATTATGGCCGTTAACGGTCTCGTAAAAGGTTATTATGGCTGCAGTGTTACAGAGCATAGGATTACGGGCAAACTACGTCAAGTTATGGTCATTACGGTGTGTTACGTTATAGTACACGGCAGAGCTGCAGAATCTGCCTGTTTGCTCCGACAGTCATCGGGGAAAAATTTATTGATACGGGGAACTTTTTTTGAAAAATTGGAATTGCTTTTTGGAAATATTTTGTAAAAAGACATTCTGTTCGTGAATTATCTCGGGGAAATTACTGACAACTTTTTCCGTCGGGAGAAATTTCCCAATCTCACGGGCAGATTCTGCACCTCTGATACACGGTCGTAATTCGGCGTATATAGCTATTGTAACCAATGATCTAGGCAGTTAATTGGCATTTTTGTACGGTTTTAAGATAAATATTTCCCATGTTTATTAAAATGTATAAGTGGAAAGTTACACCAGATATACGGCATATTTGTCAACTTTCTACTACAAAACAAGATTTTTCCGATTATATATATTTGTTCGGTGGTATATGAGAAATCTAGTTAGTCATTTTCTCGATCTTGAAAATTTCTGTCTTCTACGTATAATCACAAGTTTGCTCGTAGAAAAATGCTGCAGCATCTTTGCACCATAGTATAGAGTCCTCATAATTCTTCCAAATGTATGGGGTGTGCACATCCTCGAAAAATGAAAATTTGTCCTTTCCTCCAGCGAAAATTAAATTTTTTTTTTAATATTTTAGCATATAACATCGATTTTGTACCTTTAAAGTGTTCTGTAGCAGCTGGGCGAGCCCTTGCTGAAATGAAACAAGAAGAAGAAAGAGAGATTGATAAGATACGTAGGTAAGGCAAAAAAACAACGTGATTTATTTGTACAATTGGCAAGTTTAAAATAAAACGATGAGACTCCTTCCACATGCATCCTATTGTTTACAACTCCCAGGTCAAAGATTCACGATCGTATACTATAGTATTTCGTCGTATTTTGACGTAAACCCAGCCAACATATTACGTCCATTGTAAACGACGTCGTTTACGTTCAAATACGGCGAAATACGACGGTCGTAACGGCTGACATAATACGTTGGCCGGGTTTACGCCAAAATACGACGAAATACTATAAAGTTTTGCTACTATACTATCAGTTTTGTTCTAAAACAAGTACAGATAAATAATAGACACAATTATAAAAATTTAGAGGTAAAAATCTTAATTCTTGTTTACCACAAAACCACAGGTGCGTAATTTGACGTATACGATCGTATAGGACGGTCTTAATCCTGGGCCTGGGATATTTTTTGTATCAAGCATAGTGTTTATTGGAAAGTCGGATGGATACTATGAAATGGATAAAGTAGAGAAAATTCTGTGATAATGGCTTGTAAAATGCATTAGCTCTCTGCATTAGTCTAATTTCGTCTCCTTTACTAGTTAAGACATTAGAGATCAAATCTTATATAGGATTTCTATAGGAATCTTATACAATATGTACAAGAATCTTATACAAACTTTATGAATTTCTTAATAAGACAATCGATGGAAATGCGTAGAATATTGATAAAAATCTTATATAAGAAGCTGGTAAGATCCGATAAGATTCATATAAGAATCGTGATGAGTGGTGTCAAAATTTATAGAATTCTTATATATCCCCTGAAAAACAAAATGATTTTTTAGCTTTTGACATTATAAAACCACATTTTGGAAAAAATAATTATACTATCTGATAGCGCTTGGAGCTTTCTATCAATCTGTTAAGATTTTCCTTTGCTCTTATTCACTGGAAGAAAAATCGAGTGAAATGAAGGGACCCTCATTGTCAGATTCCCAACGATTGAATTTTACCGCTGTCTTTTCAATTAGTATTTTAAACTAGTACACTACCCGTGCGCTGCGACGGCTATCGCTTCTCTGTTATAGTAAATACTCTTTCTTGTCCTGTGTTGCCCCCCCCTCCCCCTATTGACCTAACGAAGATTTGACGAAGAAATGATTCAATGGCGCATCAGTCTGATTAAGAATCCGTTTACAGATCTTCTAGGTGCTCAAGAAGCTGAGATCATGAGGCTCATAGTCCAAGCGTCACACAAATCTCAAACTTTTAAATAATAAGGATTTATCTTTGCTTTAGAATAGCTTTTTAAGAAAATAATTATATATTCTGATAGTGCTTGAAATTTTCTATCATCCTATATATTTTATGCCTTGTCTTGCATTTATCTGCTGAAAAATAATTTGAGTACCACGAAGGTACCCCCAATCGACAAGTACCAAAAAGCTACAGTTTTTCGCTACTTTTTTAGTTTTTTCAATACCATCTGTTTTAGAAGATTTTTTACAGACCACGAGAAAGAGCACATTCAGAAGTACAAAAAGAACTGACTTCTTTTTAACCATTTTTGTACTGAAATAATAGCAAAAGAAAAAGGTTCAAATAGAAAAAAATAACAGATTTTCAAAGTTTTCATTTTTTTTCATCTTTCGTCTAATCTGCGTAGTTTTCTTGATTGAAGCTCTACAAATCTCGTACAAATCTCCTTTATATCTGCAACACTTCGAAAATTAGCATCTTGAGGCAGATTTGTTCCCGGTCTTACAATGAGTTTGCTAAAGAAAATCGAAGCCGTTTACACAGGATCGATTTTTCTTATCTAAGAAGCTAGCTAAAAAGGAATGACATATTGAAATCGGCAGATAAAATTGAATCAAATAATACACACCATGAACTATTGAACAACAAAAAGAACTTTTTTTCTAATACGACGTATGACCTCAGTCTAATAGAATTAGATAGATCAGAAAAGCAGATGTCAGTGCAGCATTGACTTCAATGAAAGAAGGAAACTCATTAAGTAGCTTACCGTTCAATATTTTATCACAAAAATTTGTGTGCTTCATAGAAACTTGAGCTTTTATTCATTTTTGTAGTAAAGTCAATTGTAACTACAAATGTGGAATGTATAGATATATAAATCGAAAAAAAAAGATCACAGAAGTAGAAACTCATATCGTAGTCACTGCTTTAGTCATATTTTCGTAACAAAAACAAAGTGTATTGATTAATTCAACATGCACGATTCATACGTGGGGATCATATACTTGATATTAATAAATGCATCTTCGCCACCATGACGTTCAAATACTTCTAATGTTTCGTTAATTAAATCTCCGATATTCTCACGACGTTGTTGTCCATATTCAATTCCATCGCCAAGATTAGCTGAAAGAAAAAGATGAAAGGATTTTTTTATTCTAATAGTAAGTTGGAACATTGTCCTTACAATTCCAATTTTTAAATAAATTAAATATAGGTAATATTTGTCTATAATACGGTACTAACGCTTCGCCAACCATATCAGCTGACATGACCAATTGTTGTAATATTTTCAATGTTGTACATATCACTTTATGATTTCGAGTATTTAAGGCATCTAAATAGTAAATAAAAAGAAAACCAAACGTCTCTTATCACTGGAAAAAATATACTTTTTGAAGAGTTAGAAAAAACATACTTTTAATTGGAACGATTAATTGTGGTATAACCTAAACCAGAGACGAATATAAATGACTCTACTACAGTATATCTGAGACTGATAGTGTATAACACTTACAGGTAATATCTTGTTTCCGCCATGTTCAAGCATATCGTGTATCCCTTGTCTAGCAAAAAAATCATACGGATGTGCAATTTCACATAGACCATCGAAAAATAATGGTAAATAATGATGATAGTCTAATTTCTCTATTTCAACCTTGAATACAAAAACAATAGCTTAAAATAACTCTCAGTAACATGCTCTATTTTACTCACTTTCCAAGCTATCTTGTTTCCTTTTGTGTCATGTTCAAGTGCAATAGGAAAATCTCCACGCTCATAAAATTTTCGAAATGCTGTTGGTTTACTCGGACGTATTGTTGTTGCACCGGAATTTTTTGGTGGCGTTACCTATGGGAAGCGACCGTATAGTGAGTGACAACTTTAGTCACCGTGATGTCAAGGTCTCTTACTTTTGCGTTTTTTAGTAATGATTTCACAGTGAATCCATCTGTTTCTAAACCCGTCGGATGTAGCTGACGATCTGTCTCACGTCTGGGTGAAGTTGCTACTGCCATTTTTATTTCGAATATTCGTTTCACAAGTATTTGTTACTCGGGTATTCGTTACAGTTGCAAATAAGATAGACAGCAGATATTAAATTACTTGGTGTTTAATCTATCGACATAATAAAAATCGTTCGACCTCACGTTACTAAGTGAAACCTCCCCGTTGATCTTTATCACCGTAGTTGTAGTTTGTTTGTCTAAAATTAAATTAATACTGTCAATCGTGAAAGACGTTTAGGCTACTGGCAGTCGGAGAGAAATCTATCTAACCAACCGTCAAAAAAGCGTTTGCCATGCTATGGCAGATACAAAAGCGACTAGATCGATAGCGACAGACGCGTAAGCGACTGGTACGGCACTGACGCTTGAAAAAGAGAGTGTGTCAGAAGGAAAGAAAATTTTGTTTAAGAAGTTATATGTTGGAACAGAGAAAAACAAACTTGTTTATTCTTTTAGAGTGTTATTTTTAAGTCAAATACAGAGAATTGCCCATTTATATAATCCAGGACAATGAATCTTAGGATCCTATAGCTGATAGTATATCACAGGATTCCTATAGGAATCTTATAAATTTCCTATGAAAATCCTATCATAGGATCACAGCGAAAATCCTACCAGGATTTTTATTGTAAGACTCGTATAAAATCCTATGAATTCATAGTCACCATTTTGTTTCTCAGCGAAACAATTGTATAAATATGATACTGGAAAAAATAAAAAGTCGAGTTGAATAAACTCAAATTTTCACACTGAACAGTATAGCCATCAACATGGAAGCTCATTCAGCTGTGCTTTGATCCATCCCAGTCTTCATTCATAGACTGGGACAGAGCTCAAAAGACAAAAAATAAACAAAGCTGGTAGTAAGGCTGAATATTTTGGTGTCGAATATTCCAGGATTCCTATAGTATCCTACGTAGGATCCTATCAGATCTTCCATACAGGTCCTACAAGATGCTACCCTATGACATCATAGGGTAAATCAGTCTTTAAGCTATCTTATGGCTTTCCTATAGGATCCTACTCGGATTTTATAGGATTTCACAGGAAGCCTATGGGATCCTATCATCGGATTCATTGATCTGGGAAGCCTCATTCGTTTTTTTTATTTTGGACTGAAACGAGACGCGTGAACACAAAATCCTTCTTTTTGCGTGGGTTTAAAAGTGACATTTCTCGGCAACAACAGTAGAACCATCGCTCGAAACATGCTGTCTTGAAAATGAGCCTAAATATGTATAAAATTTCCGCGCTGCAGGTTGGCTTTGCACAGCTGTGTCTAGATAAAAATTTCGACCTCTCTCAGAGTTCACAGATCCTGCAGATCTCTATGTTTCACAAAACTGGAAGACTATACTCTATATTTTTTCTGCTATCCCTGTTTAGATCATATCAATGAGTGATACTATTTACTATCTGGTTCAGTCAATATTCAGGATTTTTGTATGTTGATTTTTTCTGAAAAGCTTTTGTTATTCTTTTCTTCTCATGAATCGGCTGTAAAAACTAAGTATTATTTATGTTCTTTAATTTTTTACTTACGAAAAAACCGTAAAGATCTAAATTATTTTTGTTTTTATTTTCTGATATAAATAAAAAAACCTAGTCGTTTTTTACTTATTCATTACTTCAACTAGATGAATGATACGCCCTAGAGTTGCAATACTTTTTTATTAACTGCTTTATCTTTTATGTCTGATACGATTTATCTAATAAAAATATAACGGTGAAAACCGAACTGTGTTCAAACTTTCTTTTTGATAATTTTTATCGATATTTTTCCTCTTCAGAAGAAAACTTGACGTCCTAAAAGAGCTTCCTCCGCTCGAAGCACACAAAAACTATAGCTAACTGGCTAACCGGAATCACCAACGTCTTACCAGACCTTTCCTCGAAAGCTCGTGATTTAAAATGAGGTTTGAAAAAAAGCTAATATATAATGCAAGATCAGAAACCTAATGTCTTCGACTGAATCCTGAAGTAGAGTGCCGCCATTGTATCCTTAGCCGAGCTGGTGATGGAGAAGACTGGGGAGAATTTTGTATTTTTCGTACTCTAAATAATAACTTTGCGTATCAAAATCCCTATTTTACTATCGTCACTAGAACTGAAGTGTCCTTCTCCAACTTACTTTCGAGAAAAAACTAATCTGAAGGGCTTTAACTTTTAAATAGCTTTTTCGGCACCGAAACTACTTTGTTTATTACTTAAACATAAACAGTGGACAACCATATTCGTTATTTATCCCGTAACAATTAACTTTTTCTAGTAATATTTGGTAATTCCTATGGAATTACCTTGAAATCACTGAAAAAAAATTTTTGAAAAATAAACCATAATCTTTTGGTTGTTTGTTCTGGTCGAAAACCAATAATTTCTTCATTCGCTTAAACAACCAGGATAATGCTCAAACAAAATCTCTACGACAAACCGCTATTAAAAATCTTGGGGCGCACTTCAGGTGTAACGCTTATATAGCGAAAACGCTATGTTAAACGCTGTATGAAATAGTCGATTTTATGACTTCTAGGAAAATGTCTGTAACTTTTCGATGCAAGGTCATACAGAGTTGTGCGAGGTCTTATTTTGATCAGAA